AGGAGTTTGGAGGACTTGGAAGAGTTTGTGTCCACAAGTCACAGTTCTGGCCAGCAGCAGCGGTGGGACGAGGAGACACTCAGGGGAGTCCTGATGGTGGCAATGAGGAGTGAGTGACAGACTAGGACAAGCCACTGGCATGCCCACAGCAGTGGGCTGGGGCAGCTTTGGGGTTCACTTCGTATTTGCTGGTGAGGGAATCTGGAGTCACCCATGATTTTATGTGTCAGTTCTGGCAGCCAATGCTTGTAAGGGCATGGAGGCATTCTCAGCTCCCAGATGGTTCCCACTTCTGTCCATCCTGAGCGAGGGAGAAGTTAGGTGTAAACAGTCTGGGGGAGGGTGGTGTTGACTCAGTCTGATCCCAATCGCCATCCCACCAGCAGCACTATTTCACTTTCTGAATCAGCCGTGGTGCCTGAACTTTGGTTTATTGCCATTTGGATGGGCTGCACTTTACCTTTGTAGGATATAAATCTGGACCGGTTGAGACTGATAAGACAGAGGGATAAAAAAGAAAAAGGAAGAAGGAAGGACTAAACTTAAAATCAAATTATAAAAGCTTTTGGGTGTCAGTGCCACAACCAGAAACCAAAAATAGGAAAGAATTTGCTGTCCCATTTCAAGGCAGTGCTGAAAGACCCCAGCCCACAAATGTGGAATGTTCCTGCTCCACCAGCCATGGAAAGAGCTGTCTTCACCTGGGGCAAGGCTGGGTTGGAGGCCCTTGAGCCACAAGGACTCATTTGTGCCACAACTGCCCATCACTACAGCCAAGGCTGTTGCAAAACCCTATCCCATCACCCTAAGGATGTTCAGYTCCTCCATTCCAGCTGAAATGGCTGCTAGAAGCTGTGGTAGTGTCCAGAGAGAGTGAAAGGAGAGATGAATCAGTGGGCTAATACCTCAGCAGGTGAAGACCCAAGTGTGGGCTAGATGTGGGAATGTGCCCCTGGCTCTGGAGACGAAGATTTCTCACACGTGAGTTTTGTTTGCCCTTCTGAGCAGGATAAGGAGAACCTTTGTGAGTGATGCTGGTGAGMAGGGTTGATTTGGACCCTCCTCTGAAGGCAGGGATGGATGCAAAGAGCATCCCGAGGAGTGTCTAGCTGTGTGCCRGATGGGCTGGAGCAGCCCAGCCTCTGCCATCAGCCTCTTGCCTTGTGAGGGGCCCCTGATCCACTGTGCCTGCAGGAACAGGCACCTCCTTGGTGCTTCCAACCAAATGAGGGCCCAGCAGCTTGTCTGGGCACTTCAGTCCCTGTCCCAGGGCAGCTGAGCAGGCAGAGCCTGTGACTCCCCACTTCTTCCTGGGGGATGGAAGCTTTTGTTCTGTTCTCAGCAGATCCTCAGTGGCAGCAGCACAGTAACGCCCTTGGGAGCACTTGGGGAATGGGAACAAGGGCTGGGCTCTCCTGGGGAATTGTAGTTCAGGTGAATGGGAAATACCTCCAAACCGGTCCAGCTCAGCTGCACGCCCTTCCCTCCCTTCTTAATTGCAATTCTTCCTAATTTATCTGGATTACCAGGAAGTAAAATGCCAGGACTTTTTTGGTTACCCCACTGRCATAGTGCATTTCAATTTTGGAGGCGGCACTGTTGCCAGCCCAGGAGAAAGGAAAACTCTCACTGCCTTGGGAAAGGACAAACCCTYACCTGTGTGCAGAGGCAGCCATGTCCATGTGGGAGCAGCTGTCTCTGGATCCCCTKCCTTTCCCTCTTGACACCCACTTAATGCAGGGGCACTAAATGTTTTAGGGATGGGTGACAGARTATTTTTTCCCTAAGCTTGACATTTCAAACCCAAGTTTGCAAGAGGACAGAGATGCTGTTCACGGCCACCCCACTCCATGAAAATTCTTCCGCTCTGCTGTATTCCTGACTGTGTTCTTGTGGGCAGGTGGAAATCCGGAGCTAAACTGTGATATCAGACCTCCTGAACCTCCTTGGATCTCATGTCCTGCATCACTCAGGCGTTGTGCAGTGCCTGGACCCGTTTCTGATGGTGAAAGGACTCTCCTACCATGTGGTTGGATGAGCAGGGAGGGTTTCTGGAGGTACCACCCTTCCCCTCCCTTGAAGTGGGAAACATGAATACCTCCTGGGCAGGCAAGTGGGTATTTTTTGGGGCACCTGCCGAGCTTTGGCCAAACAGGTGGTTCAGGAGGCCATGCTGGCAGAGCTGCTGGATCCGCTGGATCCGTGGGAGCTGCCATGCCAGGCAGACACTGCACTGCTGGCAAAGCTCTAACAATGCAGGAGGTCATCCCTGGTGCTCCGGGAAGTCTGTGGACTTTGCCTGGCACTTCTGCTTGGGGGTCACTAGGGTAGGCTCGAGTATTTTCCGGGGGTGATTGTTTTATTGCCAGTGCCACCAGACTGGCAGGCTAAAGGCCGTGCATTCCATTCCGCCCTGGAGGGAAGGGCAGCGCTGCTGACTGCACTTGTGGAAAGGAGTTGTGAGCCCTGACCAGCCCTGAGCAAGGACAAAAACATTAAGCCTTCTTCAAAACTGCAAACTTGCCCTGACCCTGCATTTTGGGGAGACTATGGCATGGAAGGGAGAAAGCAGAGAGTGACAGAGAGTGYTCCAAAGCAGCACCCCAGATCCAGTCCCCTGGGAATAATACTCCAGGAGTCCTCTGCGCACTCAGGGCTTATTTCATATGGATGTTTCTCAAGCCCACACAAGCCAACGCATTTGTTCTCCCTGTTTCACTCCTTTCTTTTTTACCACAAGGACTGAAACCTCCCRAGTCCTACAGCTCATTAGTGTCTCTTCTGAATCTTTCTTTTCCAAAATGATCCTGTGACCCTATGAAAAGCATTTTGTTTTCCAGCACATTCCAAACCATCTCATCCAGGGGCAGATGCCAACAAACCTCTGGCAGGTTTGGCCCTCCAGCCATGCTCCAGCAGGGTCTCCTCTCAGGACCTGCAGCCCGGTTGAGTGACCAGAGCAGAGCAAGCAGGCCGGAGTTCTTCCTGTGCAACCCTTCCCTGACTCCTCATGTCCCTGGTTGAATCCAGGCAGGCAGCCATGACAATTTGTGACAGCCTGACAAAATGGTGGCTACTGTGAGATCACCCCAGACAGCATCTGCTCCCCAATGTCCCTCAGAGAATCATCACAGTTGGAATGGACCTTCGAGATCATCTAGTCCAACCCTCAACCCATCACACCATCCATAGCAGTTGGGCAGGTGGAGCAACGACCTGCAGGGCTATTTCAGGCTCAGGGCTGGGCTTCGTCACTCTGATTGATGGTGAGCAGTTTGTAGTCAGCAAAGGCGGGCCCTGAGGTACATTCTGCCTGCCCCTGTGATACCTATCCCATGGCTCAGAAGATATTTCCTCCCGGTGCTTAGCAGCATCCAGGCTGCCCACCTCTGTCGTGGTGTCTGTGCCCWCCCTGACATGGGGGGTGATGGCAGAGGGGCAGAAAGCCAAGGGCTYRAAGCTTGTYTTGGCAAACTGCTCCATGGCCCCAYRYGAGCAGTGTGAGCACGTCACAGCCGTTCTCCRGCRTCACTCACAGCTCCTCCCGGGACTGCACCAACGCCAGCGCTGAACTKTTCCTTGGGTGCCCAAAAACACCCTGTCCCTCTAAGCTCCATGATGATATGACAAACCCACCTTGCCCTGCTGAGTACAGTGGGGTCGATCTGGCTCWAGACCACGTGGAGGGCTGGGACAAAGCTGGAAGAGCACCACTCTTTGGCCAGCCTTCCCAAGGCTCCAGCTGCAGAAACCAGCAGCATGAATGACGCACACCTGACCACAGTGGAACTGAGCTGTAGTGCAGTCCCAAACACCAGTTCAAGCCTTGGTTTTAAACAAGGCCAAACAATGACCTTTGACTCTCACAGACACCTTCCCACAGTGGATCCCAAGTCCCTCTTCCCAGTCCTGTTTTAAAGGGACCCTTGATTCTGGACTGATGCTTGCCTTTTCTGTCTGTGAAGGACTAATTTTCCTTTTCAAACAACTGAAAACTTGATCACAGGGCAAAACAGAGCCAGGAATGTGCAGCTGCCTGCAGCATCCATGGGCAAACCCCTGCGTGGGTCCCTGCTGTGTCAGCTGGGGGCTGAGCCTCTGGCTGTCACTTCTTTTCCTCAAAAAAAATCCTTTTTAAGGRCACATCCCAGCCCAACTTTGGCACTCCTGGAGGAGCAACTGCTGATGGATCCGATCCCTGCTGCAGCCCAGTTTTGGAGCAGCCCAGCCACACAGGCGTTAACTCCCCGTTGCCCTAATTAGGCCGGGCAGTCACCGGATTTTACTACTGCGCTGTGTCACAGTTATTTCCAGTATTTGAAAATAATGTCGGTCACATCATTTGCCCCTGAGCCTTGTCCTTGGTGAAGTTTGCACCGGCATTTTCCAGGTAAATAAGAGAAAGGGGACGGGAATGCTGAGACTCGTTAGCGTGGATGAAAGCTCATCAGGAGGCAGAGCCATCAYGCGAGGGAACAGGGCAGCTCCGAGCTTCCCTTTCTGCTGAAATCGGGTGCTGAATCCTGCCAGGTTCAGGGTAGGAAGAGCTCGCCCACCAAGAGCAGCAGCTCCTTGAGGGGCCCCGTGGGTAACGGCCAAAAAAATTCTACACATGTCCTCAAAAGAGGAAACCCCGAGGTTTGCAAACAAACAGCTGCTCAAAACTACGTCTCCAGACTTCATTAGGAACAGAAAAAATGCCTCGTTCTGTGCCAAATGGACATTTTGCTGCCAAGAAAGTGCCACCTACTGGATCTCACCCGGTGGGGAATCACCAGGACGGGAAACAAACTCAGAAAACACAATGCTGGGAAAAGTACGTTTTTTCACCTTTTAAAAATAAAACAACAGAAAACTACCCTGATAGTTTTCTCAGGATAGCTCTCCCAGCCACTGCCTCTCTCCAGCCACGCTCCCTCCACAGCGCAATCAGRCTTTTGGAGTGGATAAAAGCTGGGGAGGGGGATGTGAAGTTTTAGGGTTTGCAAAGAAGAACTCACCGGTGCTGAAAAGCCGCTCTGGTTTCCCGCAATTGCCTCAGCTCCCGTGAGTTCTCTCCCAGTTTTCCGTGCCCTCCTAGTTAAATCCTGCTGCCATTCTCCAGCAGCCAAGCTCCCTGTCCTCCCTGCACAGGCTGTGAGCCCGATGACCCGAACGCTGAAGGAAAGTGGGAGGCAGAGCCCACCCGGCACGCCGGCCCGAGGGTCCCCGTGCCGTGGCTCCCCGCTGCCCTTTCCTCCCGGTGCCGCTCGCCCCGGGTGTCTGAGAGCAGGTGACAGAGGTTTCTTGGCAGAGAGAGGAGGGGAGGGATGGGGAGGCAGCGAGAGGTGGAGCTGGGACCCGGAGCAACAGGTTACTGTATAACCAGGAGCGGCGGCCGCGGCAGCGCCGGGGGCTGCTGCAGCCTTCGCCCACTCCCCGGGCAAGGCGACCAAGAGCCCAGGAGGGACGTGTTAAACTTCGGGTTTCTTGCTCCCGAGAACATTTTGTACCCAATGGGAAGGTTGAAGGTGGCGAGGGGAGGTGAAGGAGTGCTTGGAGCTCGATTTTCCATCGCCGGTGAGGGAGGGGACGTGCTGCCCGACCGCCTCACGGGGGGAACAAGGCACCCTTTGTGCAGCTCAGGGCTCTGCTCGGCGCTGGCTCGCSGGTTGTTTTCCTCCAGCATCGCTCCTGCCTGTTCTCTGCCCCGATGTCTGCAGCAAGGAAAGGTGTTGGGAGATGAAGGGAGAAGGCAAAGCGTCCTCTCTATCAAGTTCCCCAAAGCAATCAGAGGTGTGGAGCAGAGTCTGCTGAGCACAGTCTCCTTTGGGGTACYCCCTCTGTGGCACTGCGCACCGTGGGGTTACATGGCCATAAAGCCCCTCATTTTGCCCCAGCTCTTCCATGAAAGAGARTAGGTTTAGATGGGATATCGRGAGCAAATTCTTCCCTATGAGSGTGCTGAGGCTCTGGCATAGGGTGCCCAGAGAAGCTGTGGCTSCCCTATCCCTGGAAGTGGTCCAGGACAGATGRGGCTTGGAACAGCCTGGGATAGTGGAAGATGTCCCTGGCAGGGAAAATATCAGCTGGGTCATAACGATGTGTCCATGGCAGGGTGAGATCCYTCCAGYTAGCCAGTCCTCTCCCAAAACTGAGGCTTTTGAGAGTGTTTTATTGAAGTGCACATGCMTGCAGGCCTCCCCCCCATGCCCATGTGTGTGTTGAACCCCTGGCATGTTCATGTGAAACCAGACCCTGCTGGCCCCGGGAGGACACAGCTGTAACTGTGACACTAGGGAAGGAAACAAGGAGAAGCTTCCCCTCAGGACYGCGGTCTGGGAGAATCCCAAATTCCTCAGCTTGACATTTGCTGAGTTCCCCGCTGCAGTGGGTTTCTGTGAGGGGCTTGTGCCTAGCGCAGGGCCTGGCCCGGGTCCAGGCGCCGCACGGAGGAGCCGCCCSGGTGAGTTCCTGCGGGAGGAATGCAGCCGGGTGAGCCGGGCGGGCAAGGGGAGAGTGCCTCCCTCCCTGCCTGACAGTCGGGGTTTGACAGGAGCACGGCCCCTCCTGCTGCGGGGGAGCACGAACCGATACTCGGTGTGCCGCTCCCGCCCGGTGTCCCTTCATCCACCTCGCCAGGAGCCCAGGGGATACACTGTGAAAGCACTGTCAGCCCTAGGAAAAGCAGGATTTAGGGAATGCCTGCCGTACTGAGCAGGAGAAGGGGTATCAATCCAACACGAGGGACACGCAGTGGGAATGTCAGCTGTGCTGGAATCTGGCCCACCTCAGCAGCCGGAGGGTTTTGTGCAGGAGATCCCTGCTTCCTGAAATGCATCACGGGGTTGTTTCAGGACTGCTGGGCTGACTTTCCTGGGATGCAAACAGGGAGTTATCAGGATGGTGTTTTAAGGCACTGCTTCCTRTCCACCTCCACATTCACGATGAAGACAGAGCTACCATGAGCTGCTGTGCCCCACAGCAAATCTCTTAACTGCTCAGCAGAGGCAGCAACTTCTCCTCTGGGCAGGGAAGAAAACCACAGCACAGCTTATTACAGCTTCCCTGCTGTCCCACCTGACAGCTGGTGCCRGCTGGGGTGGGCCAGAGGCAACTGTGGAATCATGGAATGATTTGGCAGGAGGGAATCACCCTGTGGCATGGTGGCGGTTCCTGACTTGGCTCCCAAGTGTGGAAGMAACTGAGTGCGTGTCCTCAGCCTCCCTCCTTTACTGGAGCACTGGACCACTCCAGAGGGACACCATGAAGTCATGGATCACTAACACTCTATCTCCCAGTATCTCCGATCTGGAAATCCTGGGAGGCTGACTTGCCTCTCAGGATCAGCCTTTTAAATCATGTTGGCGGCAGACACCCCTGTGATGGCTTGAGAACAAAGACTTGTCGAGTAAACRCCACCCAAACCCAGCTCCTCAAAATATGTGTTCCTCTCAATTTTTAATGCTGTTTGCATTCAACTTGCTCATCCTGTTTCAGAAGGGCTGGGCCTCATAATTAAAAGCTCCAGCGATTTTATGTCTGGCAAATGTCATCAATGGCTTTACTATGTGTGCCTTGCTTCTCCAAGCAGTGAGAACAGTTTGGAAATGAGCTCCTGGTTAGGAAAACTCTCTGAAGCTGATTTACTTCGGTACTTTGTACCAGTTCAGCATGGAGAGATTCCACCATGAAAATCAGGGCCACCAATATAACGACAATTCCCACTGAAAGCCTGGAAACACTTAAGATGAAGGAGTTGTCTGCAGCTTCCAGACTTCATCCTTCATCATGAAGGCTGGCAGCAGAAGCAGTATTCCAGAAAGAGTTCATGAACAATTCCACCTGAAATTGGAAAACTGAAACCAGAACTGTGCTGTTCTTGTGAGGGGAATCCTTGTGCCCTTGACAGCCAGCCAGTTGCAGCCAATCAGGCCCTGCTCTGAAACAAGCCCAAAAATTTGTGTTTGTTATCCCATGTGCATATTTACCCTGTGGCTCACTATCAGCAAGTATTGACACTCTCCRCTGATCCTTGTTTTTCATCTGCGTGATGGGGAGGAAGCAAAGGGTTCACCATGTTTTATAATTAATCTTTTTTATTTGTTTGTGGTGATCACCCCAAGAAGGTAAAGCATGRGGGCTGTGACTCAGCATTAACCTGTGTGACCCTGTTTGCTGTATCTCCTGCATTCCAGTAAAAATTCCACTTAGCAATATTTCCTTTAAAGCCTGTCAGATGTTCCAYGGGCAGACCTTTGTGTGAGGCAGGTATGAACACCAGGAAAAGTCTGTGCATTTTTTGTGCCCATCCAGGAAGGGTTTTGCTCATGCGCATCGATTGTTAACGGGGCAGGGACAGCTTGGTATGTCGGTCACTCCTCAGAACAAGCGTGTGATGGCACATTCCATCATGGCAAACAAATCGGGGAGGACAAATAGGTGAGGGCTCCATTCAGGCAGATTAAACACAGAAACACTTGGTTGTTCAGTTTCCTAGGTGCTCCTTAGCCCAGTTCTGCTGTGATGTTGTTTCTTGGAGCAGCCAAGGGCCGGCAATGCCCCGGCTCAGCAGGACCTGTCCAAGGGGATTTGTGCCAGGGGTACTCTGATGGTGACTGTCAGCTGGTATAATATGCACAGARCCTGCTGTTACTGGCCTGGGAGTAGAATCATRGAATCCTGCARTGGTTGGGGYTGGAAAYRACTTTAAAGCCCATCTCCTTCCAGCAGGGACACCTTCCACTATCCCAGGGTGCTGCAAGCCTCATCCARCCTGGCCTTGGACACTCCCAGGMATGGGGCAGCCACAGCTTCTCTGGGCAGCCTGTGCCAGGGCCTCAGCACCCTCTTGCTAATATYTCATCCAAACCCATCCTCCTTTGTTTTGACACCACTCCCCCTCATCCTGTCACTAATGCCCTTGTGAAAAGGCCCTCTCCAGCCTTTCTTAAGCCCCTTTTAGGTACTGGAATCCTTAAGGCTGAAAAAGCCCTCTAAGATGGTCAAGTTCAACCACTGAATGACTGAGGGATGAACCTGGGCCCTTCCACAGAACTTCTGTGTCTTTTGTCTCTTTCTATCCCCACCAGAAAGCAAAGGGCAGCATGGCTGAGGTTCCACAGGTCCGGACCTATGATTTTCAGCCCTGATGAGTGCAAATTAGCTCAGACCTTCTCAGGAGGAGAAGGGGCTGCACACAGCAGCAGGATCAGAAGAGGCTTTGACACATATCCAGGCTTGCCCAAGTCTTCCTTTGGGTGACTGAGCTAGAGCCCAAGATCTGAACAAGAWGCTCTGCATTTCAAACACTCCTTAGATCTGAACCATTATTTATTTGAATGAATAAATAAATAAAAAAATAGTAAATTCTGAATATAAAATAGGCTTCTTCAAAACCTCAGAAATTCCCCAAGCTTTCCATTAACATATATATTTGATATAGTAAAAAACTCTGCACTTTGCATCAGTTAGAAGTTAAAAGACAGGATTGAATGTAGTAGTTTTTGCAGAAATAGAAATAAGCACATTTGACACCAACTAGAAAGAAACCTGCCAACACTCTGTTGGACTTTTAAACGGGACAGAASGGAGAGTGAATGGTGAATGGTTTTGTTCATTTTAAAGCCATCCTCTTTAACCAAACACCCCCTCACGTAGTGCGTCAGTAAGAACTGGCTGCCAAACCATGTGGCCACGTGGCTTGGCTCTCCAGGTATGCACAAAACCCAKTTCCACTCTCTCCCAGTGGGATACATCAGGTTCTGCCCTAGTAAAGTCAGGGAAATTGCCACTGAGGTCTGGAAACACAAATGAGAGCAGCATTGCAGCTGTGCCCTCGAACACAGCTGTGTATGTGGCAAGTGAGCCCTGGCCTGATTCACTTCTGTGTCACTTGGGCTGCACGTTGCTGCCAGCAGCACTGGCTCCTGTCCTGTGTTGGGAATGGATATTTAGCATTGATCCCTGGTGAATGCCAGGGTGTTGAGGGTTTTTTGCTGATTCATCCCTTGCTTTTGTCCATAAATTAACCAACAGTGGGACAGAATCACACAGCTGCTGGGCAGGATATTTCTGTCCCCCAAATTTCTCATTCAAACAGAAGTTTTACAGGGTTTTTAAATACAAAAGAATTCAGTAGTGGAAATTAAGCCCCCCAGTTTCAGAGAAGGAATGTGCTGCAGGCCTGTGGGAAGGGGCTGGGCTCAGCTGACAAAGGCAGCAATGGCCATGACCTTGAGGCCCGACTCGAGCGCGTAGGCCGCCAGCAGCAGCGCGTTGAGGAGCATGTCTGCCCACAGCACGTAGGTCTGCCACAGCAGCAGGTACACACACAGCACCACGCTGCCCACCGTGAGCCCCAGGCTCAGCCCCAGCGGGGCCTCAGCTTCCATCAGGTTACCCTTGAAACCTGCAAGGAAACACAAACCAAGCGCCTGGTTTGTTCTGACAAGAGCTCCAGCTGTAACTCAAGAGTATTCCTACTCAAAAAAGGCTCTGGTTCTGACCTTGCTCTTACTGAGTCCTGAWAAAGCTCAAAATACATTGAAATACCAGACTTGAGTCATGGGTCTGCCAGCAAACAAACCCAACACCAATGGACAATCCATTTCAAAGCAGGAAGATCAACCAAAGTTCATCTAAATAAAGAATCATCAGTTGACAGTCCCAGTCAAGGCACCTTTTCTGATCAGCRAATCAGTTCTGAAGCTGCACCATTCTGAGCGCTCAGCTTCGACCATCAAACTCTCCCTGAGCCCCCAGCCCTGCACTCAGCTCACTGACCACAGTGCAGCACACCTGGAGTCCAGTCCTTATTTTCAAGTCTTATTCCCTGCTAATCTATTCCTATTTCCTCATTTTCAAGTCTTATTCCCTGCTAATCTTTTCCTATTTCCTCATTTTCAAGTCTTATTCCCTGCTAATCTATTTCCTATTTCCTATTTCAAATGACTGTTGTTGTGGAGAAGCTCACAACAAGTCCTTCTCTCTTCCTTGCAGCTTACTTCCAAGCTCAGCTCGGTAGATTTTGGTGTTTAATACACTAAAGTTGAAACCCACTTCTTTATTCATGGATCAGGCTCCAAGGAAATAYACAGAAAGCTTTAAGACAGCAGGATAAATCTACCCTTAAAGCCAGTCAGATGGATTCAAGAGGCCTCACCCTGCATAAATATCTTGGGAATGTTGAGCAGATTTTAATAGCGATTTGGGTTTTTAAATAATTGGTCTTTAAGAAGTTTTAACAAGCTCTGGACRGGGGTCAGGAGGCCCTTCCCACCCTTCTGTTTTAGTGAAAGGAAGGTGTTGGTGCTCACAGGTGCCCTCAGGAGTGAAAAGAAAGGYGTAGGGGTCTCCAAGTATCTGCTCAACTGACAGATTCCATTTCCAAATGATTCATGTTTACAGATGACATTCCAGGTGCACTGATATACCTACCCAAGTATAATCGAGGCACTTCCAGAATGGCCATCAGGAAAAGCACAGAAAGATCAGGAGCCAAAAAATCATCTGGATAACTGAAAACTTGACCTGGAKAATAAGCCAGAGTAAATAAAGCAGGAAAACACAGAAGGGGTAGGACAGAGCCCAGCTGTGCATCAGCACAGYCTGCTCTGGGGACAATACCTGCAACTTACTTTTGTAAATAATCATTGCAAGACTTGCCAAGAAGTAGAAGATGTAATAAATCCCATTTACATAAAGCAGGATCTGTAAGGGAAGCGATGACAGCTGAGAACTGTTGTTAAGGATTTTCACAGTGAAATTGTAATTTCTCAGTAACCCCAAAATATACTGCACTCCCCCTTTAYAGTGAATGGTTCAGCTATGCCTGGACTGTGGGGAGGGTTCAGGAAGGAACCTGAGGCTGCAAAAACCAGGAGCTGGGATAAAAGCTTGCTGTTTCAGGCTTGGMTTTAGTTCCTTTTTTAAGGAATTTTATTTGGTCTGTAGTGGGGCATCTGTTAGCCTGAGGAAGTGGGGGGCAGGCATGTGTACACTGCCAAACTACTTCTACACCTCTCAGTCAGCCAKAAGGGAGCTGACAGAGTTGGCAGACTCCAATCCATCAAATTTGTGTGAGCTTGGAGAAGAGGTGGCTCTGTGCAGCAGCCAAGGCCTTGTTCCTGCCCACAGCATGGAAAAGCTGTGTTCCATACCTGTCTGAGCTCAGCTTTGAGATGCAAATTCCTAAGAAACAGCCTTAATTCACTCCCCTCACTCCYCCAGCCCTTTTCAAATCCTATGACTAGCTCCAAGCAGGGATTTCATCCCAGGCATCTTTTACAGGAAGCGCCATCCTGTTTCTGAACTCACCTACGCGACGTGGATGGATTCCAGTTCCCAGAGCAGCTCATTTTATTAACGCAGAACCAGGTTTTGGGGTTTTTCCAGTTGAAGGAAGGTGGAGCAAAAAATTACTAGATAGGTTCTAAGCATGGAAATCTCCAGGGCCAAGGGTGTCTCCTCCTAGGTTACTTGGATCTCRGCAGGAGTAAAGGTGGGGTGAATTACCATAAGAGAGGAGGAAGTTACTACTGAGAGCTGCTTTTACTACCCCTTGGCAGCTGTGTCAGCTGTCTGTGAGCTGTGCTGCAGGGGGTGTGTCCMCCAGCCCATAAATCCAATTTTTAGCCTTGTTTCCTAAGAAAATGAGTTAAGTCATGACTGCAGAGGGGCTAAAGAGGCTTCTGCAGGAGTCCATCAAGACCAATTCTCAGCTAAACTTGCATAAAACATCTCCTCTTGGAAGAAATGTGGTCCCAGTCCTGGTTCCTATGGAGGATGCTGATGGCAAACCGAGGAGCACAGACCCAGCATTGTGCAGTTACTGGGCAGAGGACAGGAATCCACTTGAGGCAGTCTTCTCGAAGATTCCCACATGAAGGGAGAAGTGGTACAGAAAGGATACAATCTCTGAAGTTCTTCCTTTCCACGGAGAAGGAGAAAATAAAGAGCAGAAAATAAGTCTAAATATTTACCAGAAACATTCTGACAATGGTATCAAGTGCTGKGAGGAATCTCTTTTTTCATCTCCCATTTCAGAAACATTTATTGTTTTCCAGATTGTAGAGTTCGGGTTCCAAAAATAACCTTTTCAACTAGATAAAGCCTAAAACAATTTGGGGGAAATCCCTGCTGGGAAAAGCTACTTTCAGTGAAGAACTTCAGGCTCTTTGAAAGCCTGAAGGAGTGCACAGGCATTATCCAGAACTTGTTTGTCCTGTCCTTTCCCAGCAGATGACACTCCATCCCCTCTAACTATGCGGGAAGGAGGTGAACACAGGAACCAGAAGGGACCATTTGCTTGTAAATTGTGAGAAAGTTTGTGGAGAACACAGGGCTCCCGGGTTCCTCTAAATACCATCCCTCCAAACCAGTTCCCTTCACAAAGACATTCTGTGCCAAACCTCAGCGTTCTCATWACCCACAAACCGAGTATTTTCAATGATCCAGCCAACACATTTCACCGTTTTCCTTACTATTTTCTGCAAAAATAAAATTCCCATGCAACATGATGGCACCGACYTACTAAAGCACCTCGAGTGCCTCATTAGTATTCTCAGCCTCTCTCACACACATGAGGGATTGCACAGTTGGGATTTCTGTTCCAGGGAGTGTAAAACCTGTGAAAGGCCATTTCATCCATCTCCTTAAGGAGAGCTCGTCATCATCACACCGCTATCCTCATCCCTGGATTCCTGAGGTCAGTGTCTGCTCTACCTCAGAGTTTTATGCACTTGGGCCCAAATTAATCCCARCTAACTCCAGGAAGCTAATTAAGGTGTCCAATTTGGGAATGCAGCAGAARCAGGCATRTGATTTTAGGTGATTCATGTGTCYATGATCTGAAATGTCTCCTGGACCTGATCCTCTCATCTCAGCTCTCTGTACAGGGACTGGAGGCTCCCAGTTCTCATCCTGTCACTCAGGAGTGACAGGACAGGGGGGAATGGCTTTGATATTGGGAAGAAATTMTTCTCTGTGAGGYCCTGGCATAGGCTGCCCAGAGAAGCTGTGRCTGTCCCATCCTTGGAGGTGTCCAAGGCCAGGCTGGGCAGGGTTTGGAGCAACCTGGGCYGGTGGAAGGTGTCCCTGCCCATGGCAGRGGGTAGGACTGGATGGGCTTSAAGGTCTCTTCCAACCCAAACCATTCCAGSATTCCATGATTCTATGTTCACCCAGTATCCAAAACTCCAGCTACACCACCGATGCTCAACTGTATGACAGAAAGAGTCAGACCATTCCTACAGGCAACTCTGTGTGGAATCCCTCAGAGCAGCTCCCCAAGTTTGTATTTAAACTCTTCTTTCTGTAATCCTTCCCCAGGAGAGGGCAGTGAGCCTCCTGCAGCTGTTGAAGGCCACAGTTCCTGAGRATGTGCTGAGGATGTGCTGCCTCCCTCCGAGCGAGCGGGACATTTCACAGGGACAAACCCTGAAACCCCACAGCACACCCCACAGACATTGGAGTCAAGAGGGATTATTAAACCACCTGAATATATCATTTCAGTGYTTTACCAGCAAAATCCTGCCTATTTATCCAGGCTGGTGCTGATTTTAGAGTGAGTGACACTGAGAATGGGGATTTGAGGTGGAATATGGTCCATCTTTTAACAAAATGGTTTAATTTTTAGCATAAAACTGTATTAGAAGGAGGCAACGGATTCGGATTTTTATTTATGAATTCGGCAAAAATTTCCTAAGCCGCCATTATCTACCCCAGAGTAGAAATCTGTATTTTTGTAAGATAACTTTGATCTCTTTGAAGGAATTGGAAATCGGTGATTTTGACCACACCAAGGATGAATTTTTCGCCCTCTGAACTCCAGCGGYTCCTAATTTGAAGCAAAGATCTGGACCTTCCAGGGTCTCTCTGCCTCAGGAGAGCGCTTTGCCCGGGGTCARGGTGCTCCCCAGCCCTCACATGAGCCAAGCCCCAGTTTATGAGGGGATTTTCCTCAGGGTGCCGCGTCTGTCGAGATATGCTAATGCTTGACCTCGGCCCCGCCTCGCTCTAGTCGTGTTCCCCCGCGAGAGGTCACTTCTAGCACGGTGGGAGACACCCCCCCGGCGCCCCGGAAAGGGCTGTCGTGACCCTGTCGTGTCGCTATCGCGACACCGCTCACCTCGACTCGGCACCGCCATCTCAGCGCCCCGCCCCGCCCGCCAGTCCTCCGCCGTCCCGGCAGCCCGCGCGCGGCCGCTCGCCCCGCCCACCCGCCTTCGGGCGCGATCGGAGCGCTCGGCCCGGTTCGGTCGCTTTCGGGCGAATTCGGGCGCTGCCCGTTCGGGCGTCTCCGTTCGGGCCGGCGAGAGGAGCTCGGGTGCAATCGGAAAGGACTCGGCATACATCGGAGCTCCTCGCTACCGCCTTCGGCTGAGATCGGAAACGGCTCGAGCGCGCTCGGGACTCTTCGCCTCGCCGGGCCGCATCACTCGGAGACTCGGCCGCGTTCGGGCGGGCTCGGGTCTCACCCGATCCGTCAGGTACCGCTTCGGGCCGCGCCGCGCGGACTCGGCCGCGCCCGATTGGCCAGCCGGCAGGGAGCGCGCGCGTCGGCCGCCTTCGCACGGGGACCGAGCGGCTCGGGCCGCTTCGGGCGTCATCGGAAGTCGGTCGGAAGGCCCCGAACACGCTCGTCAGCGCTCGGGCAGGCTCGGCGCCGCTCGGCTCGCCGGCCCCCCCGGCCCGCGGGACCCCCCTCAGGCGCGTCCGGGGGGGCGGCGGGGCGGGCTCGGCCACCCCCGGCCCCGCGCATGGAGCACAGTGACGGCGACCCGGCCGCCGGACAGCTCGGCTTGCCCGCGGGACCTGGGGAGCAGCAGGAGCCGCCGCAGGCAGCGGAGGGGGAGGCGGAGCCCGAGGAGGAGGAGGCGGTAACGGTGATGGCGGCAGACGCCGAGCACATCGAGATGGGAGCGCCGCCAATGCCCAGCGCCGACGAGGCCGCCGCCGCCTTCGCAGGTCAGGGCGGGCAGCGCTCCCTCAGCCCGCCCAGGGCTCCCTCAGGCCGGGGGCCGGCTCCCACACAGCCCCCGGGACACGGTCTGGGACAGCGAGCTCCCTGAGGGCGCGCTCCCACCCCCTCACGAATCCCTCACTCCGCCCCCTCACACACAGTAAAGAGCAGAAGCCRCCCCGGTGCAGCCCAACCACCGTGTCCCCGTGACCAAGTGCCCCCAAACACGCAGGGTGCTGCAGCAGAGTCCAGAGCCTCTCCACCTCCTGGGTCTCCACCCGAGCTCCACTTGTTTTTTCATTCTCACCCCACGTGAAAATCCACAGATTTGAGCCAGACCAAACGCTGAACGCCACAGAGACGCTGGGCTTTAAAATTGGGCAGTTCTTAGCTGGACCAAGTGCAGCACGGGTCATGGCACCATGGGAATTACTACATGGCAGAGGCACAGTCAGTTCAATTTATCCTGRCGTTTGCCAGACACCCCCGTTTAAATAAAAGCATCATGGCTCAGAATGTCCCTAGTACAGGTGCAATAATCATTTTTCCCCTAGTTCATCACATACTGGTGGCAACTGCCATGGTTTCAAGGAGGTTAAAGTCTGTTCAACCCAGAGACCACTAAAAAACAGAATAATTGTGTTCATAAGAACTTAGAGGTGCCATGAGAAATAAAATTAATTTTTAATAGGAAGGAAGAAGGAAGATTTTTAGCTGTTCATCAGGTTATCTGCATGCAGCAGAACATTAAATTAATCCCGTTTTACATTCCAGAAGTCACCACAGTAACAGTAGCCAACGTGGGGGCCTCTGCAGACAATGTTTTCACCACATCTGTGGCCAATGCAGCTTCAATTTCAGGACACGTGTTGGTAAGTCTGTCCTTTCATTTGAGTGTCTTGACAAAGTTTCCCTTTCTTGGTGTAAGTGAAGAGCTGTAGTAAGGTCAAAGACTTGTTTTCATTGTAATATCCAGKATTTAAGCCACAAACCCCTTAGGGTCATGTCATGTGCCCCTTTGGGGACATAAAGGGTTTTTATTCCTATTTTTTTTATCTTTTCACCCCCATGTATTCATTCTGTATCAGAACTGGTGGCCTGAAACATGAAATCTTGCAATTTGCTTGTCTGAAAGCTTAAAAGTAGCCTAATAACTGCTATACTGGTTGGAGTTTTGCTGTACAGGTTACTGGAATTTGGGTTGGAAGTATTTAAGTAAATTTTAACTCTTTATTTCTTCTGTAGTCTGGCAGAACAGCCCTCCAAATTGGGGACAGTTTGAACCCTGAAAAAGCCACTCTGATAGTGGTGCACACGGATGGCAGCATCGTCGAAACCACYGGGATCAAGGGGCCTTCGGCACCTCTCACACCAGGTATAAGACAGTCTGTTTGTGGTGGGTCACTCTCCCAGAGGGATGGCTTCTTCTGCATTCTCATTGCCTTTCTGGAATTTAAAAATATGTGCATCATATTAAAAGGATGGTTTGTCCCCTCTCAGAACCATAAAGTTGTTTAGGTATTTAAGGACTTAAATTATTAAGGACTTACTTATTTAAGACTCTAAGATACCAAGTCCTCACACAGTATTTTGTGTATTTGGGAGTGCAAATTTTTTTTTGAGGTTTTTTTAGGGTTTTTTTTTAGTTTTTTCCTGTCAGAAATGTTTGCTTTCCTCATTCTTTGCCCTAATCCTAGCAGAGAAGCTGCTTGAAAAACCTTGCCCTCCTGCTGGGTTTTCTCCACCATCCCAGTCCCAATGGCACATAGATCATTTTAACACAGATAATCAAAATTCGAGTCTCCCAATTCTGCACGTATGTTCTTTCCAAGAGTCCTGGAACACATTTTCATCTCCATTCAGGCCACTGTCTGATTCAGAGTCTGTATCCCTGAGGTTTCATTCAGGGCTGCCTGGCAGTTTCCTTGCTGCCCACAAGATGGCAGACAAACCGTCATTGCTCCAAAACTCCCCACAGGATCGGCTCTGGCAAGGGGAATCTCCAGCCAGCTCCTGGAGGTGATGTAAGGATCAGTTCACAATCTCGGTGTTTATTCCCTGTTAGAGCCTGTTTCCTCAGGTCTATTTGGCTTAATTATCAGCCCTTTTTAGTTCGTTCAGACTGAATTTTTTTTTCTGCCTTATTATGGGGAGGCTCCAGCTGATCCAGGCACATCCCCCAGCCAAGTGTGGGACAGAACAGCCACTCTGCCTTTTTTAGTTGCTGTCACCTTTCTTTTCTCTTTTCTCCAAGGACCACAGTCTCCTCCTACCCCTTTGACAACCGTCCAGGGGAAAACTGGAACCAAGTACAACTGGGACCCATCTGTGTACGAGAATGAGCTCCCGGTGCGGTGCCGGAATATCAGTGGCATTCTGTACAAGAACAGGCTCGGCTCAGGTAACTGCCACCAGGCTGAGGGGTGGCACAGCTCCTTCTGCACTCTTCCTTTGATTAGGCTATTCTTAGGGGCTGATTGTGAGAGAAAAAAAAACCAAGACAGTTTCCAAGCCAGCCCAATGCCTTCTGAAATTATTGTTCTTTTTTATTTTACTTGTTCTTCGGAGGCTTTTAAACTTATTTTTAAATCTGAGAAGATCCAGGCTACCATGCGGTGAGTCTCCTCAGTAAAAGGCTGACTCCTCTAATGGCTTTTTTGTCTCAGGAGTAGGCTTGTGTTTCTACAAAGCTCTGAAGAATTCCTGCTGGAATGCAAATAGAAAGCTTGTCTCTTTATAGGGCTCCTGAGCTCCTTCTCTTGTCTCTTATCCCTGTGGGGAAGCTGGGGAAGCAGCAGCAGAAATTGCCAGCCAGCCTGGCTGCGCAGCACAGTGCTTGCTTCATGGGCAGAGTTTTCTTCAACACAAAAAGGATCAAAAATTTAAGTGAAAATTGAGGAAAACCTTAAATTCGTGGTGTTTATTCCAGAAAGAATTTTCTTTCTTGTGGAGGAGTAATTTTTGTAGCCTTTTGAGGCCCAGAGTCATTGTCACAGCCATGATAATAAATGGACATGGCTATCCCAGAGCAATGGGAAACAGTCAATGCACACATTTGGTGGTTACTATGAACTGACTGCTATTTCATCTGGCAATTTCCATATTTACTACTTTAGGGAATTGGCAAATTCACCACCCTGGCTAACAGTGTATTTTGGTGCTTTACTTCAGGAGGCCGTGGCAGGTGCATCAAGCAAGGGGACAACTGGTACAGCCCCACAGAGTTTGAAGCTATGGCGGGGCGAGCCAGCAGCAAGGACTGGAAGAGGAGCATCCGCTACGCCGGGCGGCCCCTGCAGTGCCTTATCCACGTAAGGTTAAGTTTGCTCCCTCCTTTCTGCGGGAAGGGGCAGCTGGAGCCAGGTGCTGATGGCACCAGGAGCAATGCTTGGTTTGGCTGAGAGTCAGTGACATGAGGGGAACTGTTTTAGATGTGTCTCACACCGGGAATCTTCTACTGGAAAGAGTTTCTGCAAGGTGCAGCCTAGCCTTGAGCTGTGCCGCAGGAATTGAGCTCTCACCATGGCACCACAATTCAGTATCCTGATCTCCTTCAATGACTTTGCCTGACTCACATATTCTTCACTTGCATCATTTATTATTTGGGTCCTTTGAGTCTCTTGGAGAACTTGGCATTGCCACTAGGCTGACAGTTGGTCTTTGCTTGGGCAGAAGTAATGTCTCAAATTCACATATCCTGGCCATTGGGTGTGGAAATGGTTTGGTTTTCCTTTGCTTTCCTCCAGCTTTCTGGTGGAAGATGCTTTGGTGTGGGGAACTGGCCTCTCTGTTACTGTACAGCATCCAGGAGGGAGTGGCTACCTCTCTGGGAGCCATGCACATTTTTAGCAGGATCCAGATGTGCTCTGGGTGATTTTGGTGACTCTCATGCTGAACTGGTCACTTCCGATTTCAGGATGGGATTTTAAATCCTCACGCTGCCTCGTGTACTTGTGCCGCTTGCTGCGACGACATGACACTGGTGAGTGGGAGGCTTTGCATCCATTACTTTAGGAAGTAGTTATTTTTGTTGAAAAATTAGCAAGCTGCCACAGTCCTTGGGCAAGCAGGTCATGAGTGTCCTGGGAATGGTCACTAGTCCCCAAGGGTTTGGCCCTGCGCCGTGGAGAAAGGAGATAAGGAGCTGCTGGTGTAACTGCAGAGCAGTCTCAGTAAAACTGGATCATACTTACTGCTTTTTTCTTTTTTTTTTTTTTTTCTCCTTTTCTATCTCCTTTTCTAAATTATCTATGCAGAATGCCTTTTAGGGATGATGTTTTTCATGATTTTTGACTCAACATTCACAATGTTTTCAGCTGGAAAAATATTGTAAGGGATTGATACCATAATCTTATGATGGATCAATATTTTCATTTTAAAACTACTTGGGGT